TCATTCAATCCGCACTGCAAAAAACAAGGAAGATCCCACAAGAGGCCCAGGCAATGACGAGGAAATTGATGCGCCGAGAGACCAAGTGACTTTCACAAGGTCACACAGCTGGTCAGCGGCAGAGCTGGCTGCGATCCCAGGCGGGTGTCCCCCCTCCCTCCAGGAAGAAGCCACCGCCATCCTCTAAGGATGTTCCTTTTCCATGTTGAGGGTATCTGGCCTTCAGAGACTCCTCACTATCTCGGGGCCATTGCTGGGTCTCCCTGGCCCCCATCACCCCAGCCTCCAACTCCGAAGGTCACACCGACTCCAGGAGTTTGTCCGGGGCGGGCACTACTCTTCAGACTGCTCTGAGTGCCTCTTCCATGGGGAGGCCAGTGGCTCAGGTCTTCTGGCCTCTGTTGATCAGGAGGCTGAGTTTTTTAGAAGGTCTCCCAGTCAGATCTGGGACAGGAGCCAAACAGTGGCTCTCGGTCCCCTCCTTCCCCAGACAGGGCTCTGGAATTGGGTGCCACCCCAGGAGCCAGCGAGGGGCCGCCATCCCTGTCCCTGGGCTGGCCCTGAGCCTACAGGTGCTCTCCAGGAGCAGGGGGAGGAGGGCAGGGCCTCGAGGACCGCAGGCAGAGCCCAGAAAGAAGGTGTCTGTTGTTTCCTTCTTCATCTCTGGGAACAATTCGCCTTTTGAGCTTCTTGGCTGAGCGAGTTGAGAGATTCTTTCTCCAAGGCATCTTGACAGAGTGATTTATCTGTTTCAGTCACTTGGCCTTCCTGAGAAAGGGTGCCTTCATGCCAGGGCAGGCGTGGGGCACCAACCTGGGGGACCCCCTCCGAGGACAGCCTTGGACCTCAGGCTGAAGTGTGGACCCCAGGTCCCTCTCCCTCCCCTGGCTGGAGACCGAGCGGGTGAGAAGGATTGCCAGTGGGAGCTGCAGATACCCACAGGTAGGCAGTTCTTCACCGCATCCTCCCGGGCCCTCTGCTCCCCAAGCGGCTCTTCCTGGACCCATCTTGTGACTGTGAAAATTGAGTCACTGAGAGGCGACTGCCCTAAGCAGTAGGCAAGAAGCTGAGATCAGACTTGAACTCGGGGTTCTGAGGCCTCCACACCTACCCTCACCTACCTGAAGAAAGAAGTTTGACCCTCGAACTCCAAGGAGCTGCAGGGCCTGGGCTGAGAAGGCCACGGCTGGCGGCCCTCCTGGGGCTCCTCCTGCCTCCTAGAAGGAAGGCCTGCTTCCTGCCTCTGCTGTCCACCTGCAGTGCCCCACAGCCCATGGCTCACCTCTGTTGCAGCGCAGACCCCGTCACTCACCTGCCTTCCCATCATTCTGCCCATTCCTCCAGGCAGGGCGCCCAGGGCTTGGCACTGAGTAGGGGGCTAACTTGAGAAGGGAAGGGAAGGAGGAAAGAAGGAAGTGAGACAGGGAGAGAGGAAGGTGAGGGGAGGGTCCTCACACCCTGTGGGTGTGGGTGATGCTCCAGGGGCCCTAGGGCCATTATGAAGTCCATAAGGCAAGCTGTGCTTTAAGAATTCAAGTAGATGGGCCGGGAGCGGTGGCTCACGCCTATAATCCCAGCACTTTAGGAGGCCGAGGCGGGTGAATGCCCTGAGGTCGGGAGTTCGAGACCAGCCTGACCAACATGTAGAAATTGCGTTTCTACTAAAAAATTACAAAATTAGCCAAGCGTGGTGGTGCATGCCTGTAGTCCCAGTTACTCGGGAGGCTGAGGCAGGAGAATCGCTTGAACCCGGAAGGCGGAGGTTGCAGTGAGCCGAGATCGTGCCATTGCACTCCAACCTGGGCAACAAGAGCGAAATTCTATCTTAAAAAATTAAAAAACATAATAAAAGATAATAAAAAGAATTCAAGTGGCTGGATCACAGTTCACTGTAAGCTTGAATTCCTGGGCTCAAGCAATTCCCGCCCCCCCCTACATACATACCTCTGTACCCCCACCCTCCCACAGCCTGCTCTGCTGCACTGCACTACCTCCCCATCCCCCAGCACCCCACCACCCCTCCCACTCCACGCCACCTCAGCCTCCTGAGTAGCTGGGACTACCAGTGTGCCACCACGCCCAGCTAATTCTTAAATTTTTTTGTAGAGATGAGGTCTCACTATGTTGCCCAGGCTGGTCTCAAACTCCTGGCCTCAAGAGAGCCTCCCACCTGGGCCTGGTAAAGCGCTAGCATTACAGGCGTGAGCCACCCTGCCCAGCCATTAACCGTTTTTAAGTGCACCGTTGAGAGGCATTAAGTACATTAGCACTGTTGAGCAACCGTCACCACCACCCATCCACAAAACTCTTCATTTTGCAAAACTAAAACCCTGTGCCCATTAAACACTAACTCCCCTGCCCGCAACCCCGGCAACCGCCATTCTACTTCCGGGCTATGACTTTGACTACTCCAGGTTCCTCATGTGAGTGGAATCATGCAGGCCGTGCCTTTTGTGTCTGGCTTATTTCATTCAGCACAATGTCCTTGAGGTTCGTCCGGGTTGCAGCGTGCGTGAGCATCCCTTGCTCTCCAGGGCCAGCGCTCCACTCTGGGCACTTTCCATGAGCCGTCCTCCTCGCATGGCCCTCTGCATGATGTCCACATTGCCAGGGGGCCCTGCCCTCCAAGTTGAGCCCCCAAGACCAGCCCACCCCCATCTGTCAAGCCCCAGTGTGGCCCACCCACCCCTGCCTTTCCCTGCAGAAGGCAGGCTGCTCAGGGCCAGGCCCTCCTGCCCCCTTGGCCCTCGGGGTTCCAGAGAAAGGGAGTGGTGGCTGTTTCAGGTAACCCACAGCCATGCTCCCCCTGCTGGCCTCCTTTCCCCGATGCTGCTGCCCCCAGGACCCTGAGTAGCACGTTGGTGCCCTGATGCTTATCTTCTCGAGGAAGCGCGCGTGGGAGGAGGACTCAAGGAGAGGGCAGATGGGTGTCGTGAGGGATCAGTCTCTAATGGTGGAACTTCAGGAGTGCATGTCAGCCAGTGCTGGGCTCCTGGACCATGCCCTAGCGTCCTGCGTGGTGTGGCTGCCTCCAGCTGAACCTCTCCCCACATCACCACGCTGCTCCTGTCACTGGAGGCGGCCCCAGGTGCTTGGGGCAGCACTGACCTCACACCCAGTGGAGGGGCTCAGGTCCTGGCCTGCCATTTGCAGACTGCCAGTACTTGGCAAGCCCCTCCCAGAACCTCAGTCCTCCATCCCTCGAACAGACCAAGCTCTCACCCACAGGGTGGCTGTGCAGATGAGCCCGCAGGGGTCTGGCTGGGCCTGGCCAGGCAAACGCCTGTCCACTGCATCCGAGCCTTCCGCTACCCAGCTGCCTGGCTCCTCTGGCCCAGGGAGAGCAGAGGAGCCCTACACCTCAGCAGAAGGAGAGAGAGCACAGACCAGGACTCAGAACCCTGGAGGAGGAGTCCCTGAAAGCCAGGTCCCAGAACTGTGAGGACTATGTGCATCCCAGGCTGGCGGCCCCTCCCCTGGCCGTGGAAGCCAGGTCCACACTGGTGACAGGTTGTCAGTCAGTCCTCTGGCTTGCACATGTGCGCATTTCCAGCTGTCCCCAGATGTCACTGCAGGCAGAGCAGCAGCACAGCCTCATACAGCATCTTCACCACGGACCCAGCAGCAGATGTCGCTGTAAGAGCACAGACAATGCAGAAAGGTGACCAGGAAGGACAGAGAGTGGAGTATTCACTACCTTTGTGTTTAATACAAGTTATTGAATCATCCGTTTGTAGAATTTAATTTGTAACTATGGCTATCAGCATGCCTAAACGTTTAATGACAGTCAGTATTAGTGACCACTGGCACACCACTGTCTCAGCCCCAGACCAGGGTTCTCCGGCCAGCACATGGGCATGGAGGGCAGCTGCTGGAGGCACAGGCAGTCCCTGACTCCCCAGGTATGTGGCAGGCCAGACTCAGGGCCTCTGGCGGCTCAGGCCTGCTTTCAACTTCACCCTCTTACGGCCTGTCCCGCAGACACCACTGATGTCCCCACTGCACAGATGAGAACCCTAAGTCTCAGGGAGGGGTACCACCTGCACAGGCCCCAGAGCCGGTGCTCTGGAAGGACAAGGCTCCCATCCTCAGGGCCTTGGGTTTGGGCGGTGTCATGAGTAGGTCTTGCTGACATCTCAGGAGCTGTCAGAGAGCCCAGCCCGAGCAGTGCCTAGCACAGCCCTGGCTAGCCAGACAGCAGCCCAGGCCCCAGGCCCCACGAGGCAGGGATGGGGATGCGAGGGTGGAGGGGGCTGTGGGGGATTACTCCTTCTCCCTGTTCAGCCCACTCTCCAGGCAGCCTTTGTGTGGTGCCTCTCATGCTGATTTCCACAGAGGGCGAGGCTGTGCCAGCCAGAGACGTGGGTCTAGGATGCTTGTCAAATGCATTCCCTGCAGTAATTCATAGGCGGCATGTGGGGTGCACTTTGAGCCCACATTCTGGAAGCCCTTGGGCCAACAGGGGACACAGTGCCTTCCTCCAGGGTGCCTGCAACACTCACCTTGACTGATGGTTTTCCCTCAGGACCCGTCCGGCCCTGACTTCACAGGGTGTCCAAAGGAGGCAGGCATCAGCACACCCTGGAGAGAGGGCCGCCACGTGTCAGAGGCTGGTGTGCGCCCTGGAGAAAAATGAGGTGAGAATGACGTTGGGGGTGTGGGGGCTGCATGTTCAGTGATATCCTGTGATCAAAGAAGATGCCTGCAACCATTTAAAAAGGGGGACTTTCCGCTTCTAATAGGACCCGGGACCATTCGGGGGGTTTCATTCTTATTAAATATGTTTGCCTTTTTCATAAAAGGCACTCGCCTACAGAGGGGTCTGTAAAAAAATCACTTCTGTCCAGGCTAACTGTTAAGTGTAAGACGACCCCCTCACTGTCCTTTAAAAGCAAGGAGCTTCTCTTTATGACATATAGCCAGGCCCTGACTCACTTCCCAAGCCCAGTCTGCGCCAGGCCAGGCGTGGGGGAAGCCGGCGGGTGCAGGGGAGTGGAGGGAGAGGGGAGGGCCGGACCCAGGAACCTGGTGCCAGTGGAGACGGCTGCCCTCAGTCCTGCCCACTCCTTCCCTGGGCCCACGTGACCATACTTCCCTGTGAGCTGGAAGACACCCCGTCAGTCCCACGGGGTGCGGTTTACCAAGAAGGGGTGGGCACCCCTGCGTGGCAGGCACCGGCCTGTCCCTGCGGCCATATCCAGGTAATGACGGAGACAAGAATAGTCGGAGAAGCGGGGAGGCCGCCAGACAGCCCAGCCGAGGCCAGAGCCGGGTCTTGGGGAGTAACACCCCCCTCTACCGGCCACCTTGGACATTACAGGCAGGAATTGCAGAATCCGTTGCGTTTTCACAACAGTAACTGAGACGTGAAAACTTCTCCAGCTCCCGAAGATTGGAAAGGATGAAAACAAGGATGGCCTGACCCACCTGCTTTAAGGAATTGGAAACTCTGTACAAATCCCCAGGGGTAAGTCGATACCCCAAAGTTCATCAGGAAGAAAGGAACCCCCATTTTAGACAAAGAGGCCAGAGCTTGTGCAGAGGGAGTGGCCCAGGGCTCGACAATATCTGGGAGCATGCTTAGCGTGGGCCCTGTGGACACACATTTGGACCTACGCAAAAGTTATCTTTGCTTTGCCGAGGATCCCTTTAAATTCTGGGTCTTTTCCCAAGAAAGCAAACTTGACTCCCATCAAGCCTCCAAATCCAATGACCCATTAAAGAAAAGACAGGGCAGGGGGATGGGTGATGCTCCACTTTGCAGGTACAATCAGCAAAGCCCCAGCTGTGGGAAACTCCACAGGACAGACTGCCAGTTTCTCCAACAACTCAATTACACAGGGGAAATGGAAGGGTGGAGGGGAATATTTGGATTAGAAGAGATTTCAGGGTGGAGTGATTCCTAGATTATGTCGTTAAATACAAAAGCGAAGTGCAAAAGAATATCTGTAACATGCTACTTTTCATCTAAGGAAGAGGGGAAGGAAAATAAAATATACAGTACCTGTTCTTTTGTGCAGAAGAAACAGAGGAAGGATAAATCAGAAACCAATAAGACTGATTGCCTGTCGGGGTGGCTCCCCGCAGCGGGGGCGTAGGTGGGAAAAGGGTGGATGATGGGAAAGATACAGAAGAATTAGAGGGAGTGGCACTGTGTATACCTTTTGAATTGTTCTGACTTTTAGAATCATGTGCATATTTCATGTACTCGATTAAAAATTTTTTTTAATGAGAGGAAACCCAAAATAGAATACAAACAGAAATAAGTGACACTAACAGTTTTACAAATGATGTATATACTTCCACTAAAAAGATGGGGGAACTAACCTAAGAAATGTTGGAAAGCAGTGTTTTTATTGCATCCTCGAAGGCTGAAAATGAAAAGACCTATATACACATATCATACCGTCACTAGTAGGTCAATTTTTCACAAGGGTGTGGGTCACTGATTCTGGAACTATTTTACATGCCTTCTGGAACTGAGCAAATCAGTCCATAGATGATGGATAAGGAGATCAAAGATACACTAAGACGGAGAACCCTGTGATACTGGATTGCAATTAGGGGTGTCAGTAAGAATTCATGGTTTTTAACTTGTATCCGGGTGTGTGTGTGTGTGTGTGTGTGTGTGTGTGTCTATTTTCTAGTCTAGCTGCTGGGAGGGCCTAGAGGTAATGAGACCCTGGTGGCAATGAGCACAGCCAGCACCCAGATCTTGATTTCTAAACACCAGTCTCAATGCAATGAACCAAGGCTTCCAAGAGAAACAGCCCATTCCAGGGTCAGGTCAGAGAAAGGAGAGGAGGAGCCAGCAGCATCTCTTGGTGCTATAGAGCAAGGAAGCTCCCAAAAATGATATGGCTGTGGCAAGCCACACAGGAACCATGGGAAGGGGGTCCCCAAAAATGATACGGCCGTGGCAAACCACACAGGAACCATGGGAAGGGGGTCCCCAAAAATGATACGGCTGCAGCAAACCACACAGGAACCATGGGAATGGGGTCCCCAAAAATGATACGGCTGCGGCAAACCACACAGGAACCATGGGAAGGGGGTCCCCAAAAATGATACGGCTGCGGCAAACCACACAGGAACCATGGGAAGGGGGTCCCCAAAAATGATACGGCTGCGGCAAGTCACACAGGAACCATGGGAAGGGGGTCCTGATGGCCACAGCTGGGACAATTTGAACAACAAAAGCCATGGTCCATAACCATAGCCATAGAATAAAATAAGAATCCATAAGCCTATGTGGATATGGAGAGATGAATGAATACGCACATGAGGCAGAAAGGAAAGCTCTTACTCACAGAAGAATTTCACTAATGAAATGTAGAAAGAATGCTGAACATAGAAAAATCTCTATTCCGTAAACACCTCAGCAATCATTGTTTTAAGCAAGAATCATGAATGGATGTTAAAACTAGTAGGCAAAAATGTGATAAGAAATAAGCTACTTACATAGTCTCAAATTATCTCCCCACAGATACTTGTTAATTATAAAGGGAACGAATGGTTAAGTGTACAGTGGAGAAATTGGACATCCCAGCCCTCCAAGAATGAGAAGGACAGCATTCTTTCTGCGAGATTCCTGCCAAAAATGCATAACCCAAATCTAATCATGAAGAAACATCAGACAAAACCCGATGGAGGGACATTCTACAAAATCACTGGCCAGTACTCAAAAAAAAAAAAAGATAAAGCGAGACTGGGACTCTTTCAGACTAAAGTAGACAATTAAATGGGTAAATCTAAATGAGATCTGTCAATGAGATCAGTCTAGGTGAGATTGGTAGGTTTGGTGATCGTATCGTGCCCATATTCCTCTCCTAATTTTGATCATTGTATTGTGTTATGTAAGATGTTAATATTTGAAGAATCTGGGTGAAGAGTATAATGGGAATTCTTTGTACTATTTTTGCAACTTTCCTGTAAGTCTGAAATTATTTCAAAATGAAAAGTGAAAAAAGAAAGAGAAGGAGAGGCTGGAGAGAGACCTCACTCAGTCACTCTGGGTGGAGCCGGTATGGGGTCTGACTCAAGCAAACTGGAAAGGAAATTCTGCCACCCTCAGACGGAACATCTGGAACCTGCGCTCTGATGATGCTGGCCTGGCCCTGCCGCCTTTTAGAGACGTGTACTGGCATATTTCCAGATGAAATGCTGTGAGGCCTGATTTTGCTTCTAAGTAATACAGGAGAGGGGAGTTGGTGGGGGAGGCAGATGGGGCAGAACTGGCCAGGGGTTGGGGGTTAGGGTCGGTGAGGTTAGAGGGTGCGTGCCCGGGGCTCATTATTCTCTTCTGTCCGCTTTGGCGTAGGTTCACAGTTCTCCAAAATAATTTTTTTTTTTTTTTTGAGTACTGGCCAGTGATTTTGTAGAATGTCCCTCCATCAAGTTTCATCTGATGTTTCTTCATGATCAGATTAGATTTGGGTTATGCATTTTTGGCAGGAATCTCTCAGAAAGAATGCGGTCTTTCTCATTCTTTTAAAAAAAAAAAATCCAGAACAGGCACAGTGATTCATTCTTGTAATCCTGGCACTTTGGGAGGCCAAGGCGGGAGGATTGCTTGAGGCCAGGAGTTTGAGACCAGCCTGGGCAACACAGTGAGATCCCATCTCTATGAAAACAAACAGAAAAAAACAAAATCCTCCAGAGGCAGTTCTTGGCCTGGTCAGGAGGGGAAGGAAGATGCCTGAGGAATGGCCAGTTCTACTCCCTGCCATGCCCCTCAGACCCTCCCCTCTCAGTGTCTGTACCCACCAGGCCCTGTCCAGCCAGCCTGGGGCCTGTTCAGATTCCTCTCCAGGCTGAACCCTGATCCCCCGAACCCTGATTCAAGAGGCACATGCCCTCAGTGGAGGGTCCTCGTTTCCACCCGCCTGCCCCTGCACCTATGGGAGAAACGACCTCTAACCTGAGGCCCCGGCCACATCTCCCTGAAGCCCCTCCCCTGGGCCTGCTTCCTCTTCCTCCCCAGGGCCTGCTTCCTCTTCCTCCCCTGGGCCTGCTTCCTCTTCCTCCCCTGGGCCTGCTTCCTCTTCCTCCCCTGGGAGGGACGCTGCAGCAAGACAGGCGAGTGTCCCATTGGCCCAGCCAGCTCCCGGTGGGGGCGCAGAGGAGGCCTTCTCTTTGTAGTTCTGATCTTCCTCTGTATTGCAGGGTGCTCTGCACCCCTGGACACCCCCCAAAAGCTGTCCACACCTTAAGTCACGGGGACCACCAAAAATGTGTCCATACCACGGAGAACAATGCTGGCCTTTCCTGGTCTTCATCTGCCAAAAATCTGCTGTCGCAGGAGGGAGCACGTACCTGGTGCAATAAAATGCCGGGGAAGGGGCAGCAGGAGAACATCAGCCTCTCCACCCTACTCAGACCCAACCATGGGTGCCCAGGCCGAGAATGAAGAGACAGGGAGGGTCCACAGGAGGAGGCATGTGGTGGGTCCTGAGGTGAAAAGCCCAAGATGGGCTTTCAGGACCCAAGGGCAGAGGGGACCTGAGCCTGTGTCCCATGTAGTGCCAGAGTGTCGGAAGATGACCATGGCACTGCAGAGATTCCTGTGCCATCGAGGGGCATGGGAGTCATCACGTGCTCTCCTTGCCCATGCCCCTAGGGTGGCCGAGAAGCTGCAGGGGAATTTGGGGGCCTGAAGGGCCCGTGGGCACAGCCACAGTGGAACTCATGCACGGATGGATGCCTCTGAGGACATCCAAGACCAGGCACTCACACACGCACGTGCGCTCCTCACAGCTCCTCATGCTCTGCAGCATCACCCAAGGCCCTAACCACAGAGCCCATGGCAGTGAGCGGCGAGAACCAGAATGCACTCAGGCCCAGCGTCCTGGTGCAGCAGATACAAGAAATAGAATCCACGTCCAGTTCTGGGAGATACACGAAGTGCCCCCTCTGGCACACCTGTGTGTGTGCTTTCTAAAGGATTGGAAAGCAGGGGGCAGCATCATGCCATGAAATGCCTGCCATGAAGCCGGCGGCCTTCTGGGCTCAGCACTGAGCCAGGAACACCAGACACACAGCCGACCAGGAAATGCAGGCCAGCCAGGGGCTCCCTGCCACATGCGCAAGGCAGAGGCTGTGTAGGCAGTTTTTTGTGGGTTGATGTATGCAAATTTTGATTGAAAAAAGTTAAAGTGTGTTATGGGTTTTGGGGTGATTTTTGGCATTTTTGTTTTTTTGTGTTTTTTTTAACTATTTTTTCATATATTGTGGCTTTTGTGATTCAATATGTTTGAGGCAGTGTGGATGGATAAAAAGTGTTGAAGGGTGGGGATGTGGGAACACATAAACTGAACTTTTAAAATTAATTATTAAAGGAATAATTCCCACATTGTAAAACCTTCCTTCTGTAAATTGCCATTTCCTGGAAAGCAGCCAGAACATAGATCATTGCAGGTGAAGCCCCTGTACTCGGTGTCTGTTGCTATGCTGGGTTCGTCCTGACTCAATTCTCCAGCACACCTGGGTTCTTGGACAAGGGCTAGGTCAGACGCACAGAACCCACTATTCCTGGCCTCTCTCCCTCCCTTCTAGACCAACCCTCGATTTTCTTATGGAACTGCTGTGGGGGGTCAGGTGTCCCAACTGTGGCATTCGGGCGCCACCTGGTGGTCAATATGCATAGTACTGTTCCTCCTGAACCCATCTGCGTGTGTGTGTGTGTGTGTGTGTGTGTGTGTGTGTGTGTGTGAGTCCCCATTTGCGCTCAGTGGGCTACTGGCCAGGAGCAGCTTGGAAATGAGCAGCCTTTACTGCCTGGAAAACCTGATTTCAAATCCCAGCTCTGCTACTTACTTAGTAATTGACCTTGGACAAGCGACTTAAATTCTATGAGCTCGCTTGTTCATCTGGACAATGGGCATACTAGTATTCCTTCCCTCGAGCTGGGTACAGTGGCTCATACTTGTAATCCCAGCTACTTGTGATGCTGAGAGGGGAGATCACTTGAGCCAAGGAGTTTGAGACCAGCCTGGACAATATAGCGAGACCCTGTCTCTAAAAAAGCAAATGAACTAGCTGGCTGTGGTGGTGCACACTTGTCGTCCCAGCTACTAGAGAGGCTGAGGCAGGAGGATCACTTGAGCCCAGGAGTAAGAGGCTGCAGTGAGCTATGATCACGCCATTGCGCTTCAGCAAGGGCAACAGAGTAAGACCTCATCTCTAAAAATAATAGTAAAATAAATAATAAGAATATGCCCTCCCTTACTGGATTGTTGGAGGGTGGTCATAAGCTGAAACCACCACCGATTCTTCTACCCCTGGTCAGCAGTGCTGTTTTCACACGGGAGGCCAGCTCCTCTATGAGGGCACAGGTTTCATGATGGATGGCTCTTGTTTCTTCCAGCTGCCTCTCAGTCATGTTCCTACCTCGCATGTCCCTCACCACCGACTGCAATGTTGAGCTCACAGCAGGAGCTCGCTAGAGTCAGTGGGCACCCATCCTCAGCCCAGCACAAGCCCTGGCTGCTGTGCTTGGGCTAGTGCTTTCTTTGTTCATACTTTTAACTGAGGGCTGCAGTCTGTTTGGAGCTGGTTCCATACCAAACAGCATTAATGGAGGCTTGGCAGGATGGGAGCAGGGTCAGCTCAGGGTGGGGTCCGGTCTGCCTGAACAGGGCCTGGAGTGTGCCTTGAGGGGGTGTTCAGGCCTCTGCAGATGCACAGAGCAAGGGAAGGGTTGGGGAGCAGTCCAGGAGCCGGCCAAATGGGTCACTGCCAGCTATTGAGGGTTGGGCTGGGCTTATCCCAAGGGGCACAGCCAGTAAAAGTGGGCCCCAGTTGCAAAGCCCGGATGTGGAGTGTGCTTTCTTTATAAGCCTCAAGGCTCCCATTCCTGTCCACAATTATACCGCATTAGAAATGGATGAGCTGGCCAGCGGCTTTCAGAGGGCTCCAGGGGAGGTTTTCCCTGTGGTAAACACTTGCTCACCAAGGGAAAGAAGGCAGGCGCCCCCGGAACCAGCCAATCCCACTCTACAGCTCAGGCCGCCCCACCCAAGCTTGCATGAACTGCCCAGGAGGGGAGATTGGGTCCACACTCCACCCACCAGCCAGACCCATCCTGGAGATCTCACCATCTTCCACCCTCTTTCTGCAGCGCCTGGTTGGCCCCATGCAGCACCTGCTCACATCCTGAGCAGCAGGGAGGAGCTGCTCCTCTGCAGGACTCAGGGAGCTCACTAGCTGGGCAAGGCCAGGACAGGCATCCACAGCAGAGGAAGCCACGCGGACCAACGCGTGGGGCAGAGGTCATGTAGGGGAACAAGGAGGGACTGCGGGCGCAGTGAGAGGTTGAAAACCTACCACCCCAGACACCTGCTCCGGGTTTCTGCCCTGATCTACCTGGGGGATAATCGGATGAGACCCCAGAGGTAAACTTGTTTGTGAATTGCAGACACGGATCAGTGCTGAGCGAGTATTCCAGCTCTAGCTCTGGTAGCGTCAGACCTTGGAGAGGTACTGATCCTCTCCTTTCCGTCATCCTCCTGATGCTCCCAGGCTAGGCCATCAGAGCATCATAGCAAAACTGCAGTTGCCTCCTGTCATCTTCTCTCTGGCCCTGCCTCGGGGCTCTTGGCCTGCCCTGTGTCCTGGAGTTTCTGACCCCTCTGGAAGCCTATGGTGCCCTCCTTAGATCAGTGTGTTTAGATTCTGAAATGACACAAGGACGGCAAGGGAAGCCAATGATCCTGAAAAACAGTTGTCAAAATATTTTACGATTGTGGCACAGACTTATATGTGCAAAGTAGGAAAACCACAAGTGGTATTCTGAGCCACCTAGAAGGATGA